AATTCAAGTTGGGATCTGGGCCACAAATTCTCTTTGATTTTGCACAGTGCTTTCAGATCTACCATTAATATCCATTACTTCTCAAGCCAGGTAAGCCTGGGAGAACTGCATAGTACATTCAGCTCTAGAAAAATGAGATTTCCTTGCATCGCTACTATAAAACACTTTGCAGCTGAGCTAAGCCAAGCTATGAACCACTCAGATGCATTCACTGAAACAGTCCATCAGAAGGACTCCAAGACAAACTGAAGGTGAAAATCTTACAGTTATGGGTAAATTTCTCACAGGCACCCAGATGAGGACATATTTTGCTACCTCGAAGTACTGTCATTCTTGAAGTGATAATTCATAGGGTCACACTTACCAACTATATCAAGATATCAGGATATCTTGTGTTTTACATGTGTAGGCCTGTTCTTCCCCCTTTGTGGCCACATGGTCAAATTGCTAGTTTTCATAACTCAAACCCTCTTCAAAAGAGAAAACCCACATCAAAATCAAGAGTTCTTAATAGTATGTAGCATTCACAAACACACAGCAGAGCATGACAGAATAAAGCAAAAGCTACATATATTTCCATTTCTTATAAAACATACCAGAAAAAATGAAGGTGTAGACATATTTCATTAATCTCTTGAGCTAAGAGGTGGAAACTGTCTATTTTTCTTTATCCCTCTGTGTTTTCTTGTTGGCAGCTGTCAAGGTCTTTCTCCCCAGAGTAATGGGGAGTAATGCCTTTGCCCCTTGGGGTAAGACAGGGGGAAGCTAAACATTTTCAGCCCAGGAAGAGCACTTGGTAAGAGCATTCACTTGTTTACAGCTTCCTACAGTGAATAAAGAACAATTCCTTCAACTTTTCCTGTGTTTTGTTTCCTAAGTCTTCTGTCCCCCCTCAGTATAATATTAAACAAATACACATTCCCTACTAAGAAAAACAAAACAAAACAAAACAAAACATCATCCTTACTCACTGTGACATCCCTCAGTATCTGAGTATGATGGCTCCTTCCAGATGTGAAAATACCACAGAAAGTGGAGACCCTACTGGTTGGTATATATTTCTGTACTCGAAGGTAATCAGCAAGCCTTCACTGTCTTTCAGATCTTACTCCTACTGATAATCTTTCCTTAATTATGAGGTTTTAACTAAGCCTCTAACTATCCAACTCTACCTAGTTTGTTTGTTTGTTTGTTTGTTTGTTTGTTTTTCCTTTTCGTCTTGGTTCCAGGATAGCTCAGAATAGAGTCTGCTCACATATACACCAGCATCACTGTGGCCTGTTGTGATCATTTCTTGTCATAACGGAAATTTTATATTTTACCTGTTTGTATGGTATTTGTATTAGTTTGGGACTGGGGTATCCTAAGTAAAATTTAAGTTGATGTCATTTTTTCTCTTTTGAAACTTGAAGAATAATAACCAGTAGCTTGGAGAAATAGATTTAGAGTCTTATGCAGCATCCTGACTGTTCTGCAAGAAGCTGTTTTTGGAAAGCCATTGCACTCAGTAGCTCAGTGCCTGTGCTCAAAGTCTGCCTGAACGCATACCAGCACAATCATGGCTGCCCACCTAAGGGCTGGCAATCACAGACCATTCTGAACCATGCAAAAGAAGTAAAAGAGCCATGATGGAGGAAAAATAATTGCAGAAATAGAGAATATCCTATTTTCCCAAGAATTGGAATGCTAGAAATACCAGTTTGACACCAAAGGAAACAAAAAAAAAAAAAAAAAAAAAAAAAAGGGAAAAAAGAAGGGTGAGAAAGTCTATCATCTTCTGGTCTATAAGCACATAAGGAAATCTGACAAAATCATTTCTTATTTCAATCAATGAATAGCAGGACAAGACCAGAGCTAGCCTGAACAAACAAAGCAAATCCAGTCTATAAGAACATTGCCAAAACTAATTAACCAGTTCCCAAAACCATCCTGTCCAGTCACTGAGGCAATATAGATGCAGTACAAATGATATTTTTTCAGAAAACTTTTTTAAAAAGTAGCTCGTAATCTCTGAATTCAATAAGGGAGGAATGGCTGGAGAGCTGCCAGTCAGAGAAGGACCTGGGGGGGTTGATTGACAGCCGGCTGAACAGGAGCCAGCAGTGTGCCCAGGGGGCCAAGAAGGCCAATGGCATCCTGGCTTGTGTCAGCAATAGCGTGGCCAGCAGGGACAGGGAAGGGATCTTACCCCTGTCCTCGGCACTGGTGAGGCCGCACCTCGATTCCTGTGTTCAGTTTTGGGCCCGTCACTACAAAAAGGACATTGAATGACTCGAGCGTGTCCAGAGAAGGGCAACGGAGCTGGTGCAGGGTCTGGAGCACAGGTCGTACGGGGAGCGGCTGAGGGAACTGGGGGGGTTTAGTCTGGAGAAGAGGAGGCTGAGGGGAGACCTCATCACCCTCTACAGCTCCCTGAAAGGAGGTTGCAGAGAGCTGGGGATGAGCCTCTTTAACCAAGTAACAAGCGATAGGACAAGAGGTAATGGCCTCAAGTTTCACCAGGGCAGGTTTAGACTGGATATTAGGAGGCATTTCTTTCCAGAAGGGGTTGTTAGGCGTTGGAATGGGCTGCCCGGGGAGCTGGTGGAGTCCCCATCCCTGGAGGTGTTTAAGAGTCGGGTCGACATAGTGCTGAGGGATCTGGTGTAGTTGGGAACTGTCAATGTTAGATTAATGATTGGACTGGATGATCTTCAAGGTCTTTTCCAACCTAGATGATTCTGTGATTCTGTGAACAAATCTTTGCTCTTTCTTACTCGTAGTCTATTGGCTAAAAAATATACAGCATCAAGAATTGACAGTATTTTTGAATTACAATTTAATACTATCATTTCTGATTAAAAATTTCACCATTTTCGGCCAATAACAGAACAAATTGCCACATGCTTGCACTATTTGAAACAAGAAGAAATATCCAAGTACACTGACTGTGAATATGAAGGTTAACTGCTCATGGTGAGTAAAATTAAGAATTCACATGTTCTGCTGTTCAAACTAAGATAAGCTTTGACCTGCATGATGGGAATGGCTACTTGTAGAAAGCCTTACAATGCTGACGATTTCTTTCAGTACTGCTGGGCCAAGAGCCCACAGTACACAAACCTAAAAATCAGTAGTGTCAAGAGACATATGTAGAGCAATTACTGCTAACTTCTAAATAGGTCTGGCATATACTCACAAGAAATATTAGAAAATTGACTTCATTTTCAGTGACACCATGGTAGCCCCACCACTGTTTAATTAATTTTATGTATAATAATGAAATTATTAGGACCTGGTGCAAACAGGTAAAAAAAAGAGGGGCTCAGCTGTAAAGAACCTATAAAGTTACTTTATTGTGGAGGAAAATGGATAAAGATGGACAGTTACAAAACTAGAATACTTTAAAATTATAGCATAAATGTTGCTGCCATCATATTGCTGGGGTTTGTTGCTACTCTTCTTTTACTATAATTATGGCAAATAAGTATTTATTGTGAGACACCAGGTGTCCTCTAAGACTTTTAGATAAAAATTTGGCTTTGGGATGTACTTGAAGGTGTGGAGGAAAAAGACTGAAATTACATTTGAATCTTCAAACATTATTGTATTGATATTTTAAAATAAAGGTTCTCCAAAAAAGACATCATGCTGGACTCATGCCTGTACTGTTAGAGTGAACACACGTGATACCATTCTCTGGCATTGAAGACAACTGAATAAAATTACCTTTTTACACATGGTTATTCTCTTTTATCCTCCAAAAGAAAGCAGTTACCTCCACACTGCCCACAAGGAATGGTCCCAGGTCTGTGCCAAGCCCCAACCTGTCTCTGGGAATTGCAGTGAGAAAAGCTAAGTGGCAAGGACCAAATCCCTGCCAGGAACCACTGTAAGGATTTAACAGTGACAAAGATTGTGATTTTGTGCTCATGTAATAGTCCCTTGAAGTATTCAATTCAGTAATACGGAAACAGCTATGCAGTGATTGCTCCTACCACTTCTGAATACGAAAGCAGCCTGCTTTTTCAAATCTCGTTATCTCCATCTTCTCAACCAGCCTGCACTTCCAGATTCATACTGCAAGATGAATGTTGGGATAGGACAGACATGGCTTACTTTTGAAACACATGGGATTATAAACTCCTATACCCCTGCACTTTTTGAATATTTTCAGAATTGCCAGAGGGTATATGATCCTGTCCAAGCAGTAATTTAATATCCACAACTTTTTCCAAGAAGGCAACTGAAAGTTTAGATGTGTGTAAGCAGCTGATACTCCCATGTTGTTTTTCAGAAGTAAAATAATACATAGGCCAGATCATGACTACTTGATAGATCAGTCAAAGAGTAGAACATGTAGAGAGGAGGAACATGTATTGAGTGCATAAGGCTGCTAACTGAACATCTCTTGGACAAGATGGTACACCTTCTCTCATGAAGCATTTGAGAATGTAAGTGAGCCCAAAACCCCAAAACTGAATTGAGGGATGGGGGAAAAGAGCTTGCCTTCAGCCAGAAGCAGTGACATGTATCTTTTTGTCTTTTCACATAAATTCAAAATGTCATTAGTTTCCAATAATTAAAAAAAAAAAAAAGAAAAAAAAATCCTATCATACGAAATACAAATACCGAACCCATGACACCTACATTGATAAACTTGAAAAATTACACTATTTCCCCTTCTGCTTTGTAATTACTTGGAGACAAGATGTAATATTTCTTATTTTATAAATATTGTAAGCAGCATAAATTATAAAAATATAATTATTTCATGAAGTTATATTTTTAAAATTGAATACATTTCATTGATGATCCTTATAAATAGATTTCCACAAAGTTCATGATTCCTTCAATTAAAAAATAACAAGCCTATACCCCTTGCTGGCAGACATAATTTTTTTCTAAAGAAAGTCTGAAAGAGTCATCAGCAAAACAACACTGCAAGTACTACCAGAACATGACAGAAGGCTTTCTACCATAGGTAAGAAAAAGTTTTTATAAAACTGAAAAAAATTTACCTTGACAAGAAGTCTGTGAAAGAGAGACGTATTGGATATCCATGTCGTATGATTTTGACCATGTCTAGGACACCGATATAATGCAGTTGAGCAGACACATAAAAATTGTCAAATGTATCTGGTAACTTGGAGTTATTAGGCTTTATACAATGGACAGAATGTGGCGTGCAGTTCTGCAGTTTCCCAATAATATCTGTGAGTGATTTCTGTGGGAAAAAAAGTCAGTCATCCATCATTATTGTGCAGCAAAGGCAATTGCTCAACACATTTGCTCTTCCTAACTTTTTAATATCATTTTCTCAAAAGGCTTGACCTGACCATGTAAGTGACTTTCTCAAGCATAGAAATTTTCATTCTTCCATTGCAATCTGTAGAGACTAATCTTGCTTTTTAAATGTGGTGTGTTTTTTTTTTTTTTTTAATTTTTTTTTTTTAATATAAATTTCTGTCCGGAGGTTGTTCACTAACCCTGAGCTGTATTGCCACAGTGGTTGGGCCCCCTCGTTCCAGTCTCTGAAGAAATGAGGATGTTCCTTTCTTTTTCAACAGCTGTGGAAGAGAAAAGCACACACACAATACCTTTATCTCAAGATAGGCAGTAAATCTTCATTTTCTCTGTTCCACAATTTACACAATTTACTAACAAAGGCAAACATTTATACAAATAGTGTGTCACAGAAAATGATTTGAGTTTTAGAAACACTTGGGAAAGTGGATAAATACCCTCAAGTATCTGCAGAGCCGTGACTGGAAATAAAGTTTTGATTTCAAAGGCAGATGTATAGCATTGGAAAGATAAAATACCTTTTCCAAATAACTGGGCAAAACAATATGATCTGGAACTCTACTGCAGAAGCAGGACTTTTACATTTAGTGTTCCATACAGTTTGCCTATAAGTAGCATAATTCTGTAACTCTCTGAAAAGGTTCCTTATGTCTTTGGCAGATACTTAAGTGAGTAAATGTAAAGATAGATCATTAAATAAAATCTTGAAGGCAAAACAATAATACTAATATTAAAAAAACCCTTCTCTTTTCTTCCTGCACACGTGAATGCAGCTAACCTTTTTAAATTTTTTTTAACCCATATTCACTGATTATAGAAATAAATTATCAATAACTTCATATCTCATCAGAACCAATGTAACATCAGAGTTGGGAATGGGGAACAAAACATTTTTTACTGTTTCACTTCATATATTTGAGACTAAAATGGCAATAATCATCCTAAAAGTGGGCTAAGAAATTTGGGTTTTGTGTTAAACTTTCTACAGGAAGGTTGGCAAAATGACTGCATTCCAGGATTTGGCAAAACTCTTAGATTCAAATCTCTATATCAGTGACAGCCTTTTGACCTCTGAATTTTTCAGTGTTTTTCTCCAGTCCACTTACTCCATAAAACTCCCTTTCTATCAAGTCAGCAGGTTCTGGCCTACCCCTGTCTCTTTCCAGTTGCATCAAGCCCACTCAAGCCAAACTCCATTAAAAATATTGCAGTGCAAGCAGTTCTCTACTCACTATGCTAAACTTTGGAGCTCTTTTTTATTTCAAATCTCACTTACTAGGATGCACTAAAATTTTAAAGACAAATTCCTTCCCAACTTCAAAACGAAAACTAAAAGAGATCTGCTTGCTCCAGGCTTATAAAAACAACTAGCATGTCAGTGATACTTCTCAGTTAAAGTTTACTTGAGGAATATCACTAAAATAGAGTTTTATTCACTTGATAGATAATGCACTCACCCCTTTCTCCCAACAGATTAAATCACTAGTTCAAGAACAATGCTTTGGATGCTAAACTTCCTGCCTGCTGTCCTGTGTTGCATACTCCTTCCCATGGGAAAGAAATGTTTTGTTCAGAATGAGGGAGAGAAAAGAAAGGAAACAAGGCAAACACTAAAAATTAATTTAATTCAAAGTCTCCAAACTTGGACATCTTCAGATATGGGTAAAGGAGCAAGACTCTATCACCAAAGCTGCACTTCTCTATTACCCTCTAATATACAGCTTTATGTTGCAAAATTTTGTACCTCTAATCTGCAGAAAAAAAGCCCAACTACACATGTAACTTCCTAATCTCTGTTAAGTAGCTAAAAGCCCCTCCTAAAAAAATCTCTCTTTACCAGCTGAGTACTTTAGAGCTTTAAGGAGAAGACATAGTGAAAACTTTGCAGTAGATGAGTTCTTCAACTAACAGACAATGAAGCAAAGTGTTCATAAAGAGAAACAACTTAAAGTCAATTGAAAGAAAAGCTTTCTGCTAGTGATGTGCATTCATGTGACTAGACTTTTGTTGTGTGAACTCTGAAACACACTGATTATTCTGAAGGATGTGAGGAGGAGGCAAGAAGATCAAAGTATGCACTAGGAAGAGATTACAGAAAAACAAGGGAGCAAGAGCTGATGTGAGAAAAAGAGTTGCGAGAGTATCAATGAAGATATATTCTATTTTATTATTCACAAGCCACAGAGACTTGAGCTTGCATCCCCATATTTCTATGACTCCTTATGTGATCCAAAATTCTGGCCAGCTATTAGGTCTGTTCATCTCTATCTTAGGATGGATGCACTTTTCTCTTGGAACCTACTACAAGTAAAGTGGTGAGTTCAAAGAGGTAGACCATCCTTACCTGTGACAGCATGCTCTAAATCATAAAAGAGTAATTTATGAGAAGGTAAACAGATAGCTACATGGCCATACATAGAGAAATCTATAATTATATAACCTAGCAAGTAGCTAGGTCTGACAATGACAAGCTAAAAGGGGATGGTAATCACAACAAACTCCTACCTGACCTCTGAAAGTGTCTACTTCTCTTCCCTGAATATGGTGGAGTTCATACAACTACCCATGAACTGCAACATGAATACTTTTCATTTTGTGCTTCTCACTGCCTACAGTATGATGTATGTTACAATTCAAATTTCAGATATAAAAGGAAAGCCAGTCTCTGGTCGATAATTCTTGCCTTAATGTTCCTCTTTCTTCACCCCCTCCATTTTTATTTTTTCCTCTTTATTGCCTTTACCCTCAGGATAAACTCTAATAAAAATTCAATGGTTATGATTTTCTAACATGTAGTCTAAGCTCATTAGAAAATGCCCCTTACACTGCATTTTCAATTACAATAACAACAAAACAAAAACCCAACATTATTCCAGTCCATCACAGTGGATTTTCAAGTCTATACTGGAAAAGGGAAGAAATTATTTGGGACAGTGCAGTTAAAGACGTGGGCTTGATCCACAAAAGAATTTAAGCACTTACCTACTTCCAGCTCCTGCATCAGGTGCCTATTCCAAAATAGCGAGCATTTCTTTTTTTGCCACTGGAACAGTTTAGATAACTAAAATTCTGCTTCTGTCCTGCAGAGCAGCACAGTAACATGCTCAAATGAGGCTAACTTAGTAACTACAAACTAGGTGGAGTTCTGCCTCACCTGCACAGCTCTTCTCAAAGCCTACCTTTGAGAAGCTAGGCCACCCTGGGCTCTGTGAGCAGATGAAGGATGAAGTTCTTCCCACCTTCCATCTAATACCTAAAAGTTTAGGGCATGCTCACTAAATCTGAAATTTCTGACTTAATTTATCACAATTCCCAAAGGAATTTTTATATGTCTTCTAACTCTCAAGAGAGTAACTCCAGGTTACAAGCCATTCTGACTGGCCAAAAACATAGTTTCAGAGATCCCAGCTGTGTGGTGTCCCCCCCGTCTTGAATAGGCTTCTATTTTAGACGTGCTTTTCATACTTCCTTCCATGTATGGGACTAGGATCTTTTTCAGTCTTAGGAAGCTTCCTCTAGGAAGCTGTTACTGTAGTGGAAAGGCACCTAAAGGCACCTTGTGATGCCTCAGCTGTTTGCTAAATATAGCTTTAAACCAACACCATTCACTTCAACTTAAGTTTTTCCCCTGAGATTACTGACAAGAACAGTAGACAGGAATTATGCTACTATCAGCAGGGGGGCTATGAGCAAAGTCCCATTGGTATTCTATGGATGTACTTGCATAAAGCCTTTCACAATGACACATGAGAGCAGGCTCCTTAATCCCATGACAGAATCAATTTTATGCAGCTGTAAACCAAAAATAGAGTTGTAAGTTTCAAGAAGCCTGGTGGAGGCAGCTGATGTATTGTGAGAACTGCTTGCCTCTTTTCTAGAAGAGGGAGGAATTCCAAAGCACTGTCAAGAATGGACTCAAGAAATCATGTTATTTCTTCTCAAAAAAGAGATGTCCCATGTGATGTGAACAATTAATTTTCTGATAGCCTCCCAAGTTTCTACCCCCTTTTGTGGTTTTGGTTTTTTTTTACTCTTTTGGCTGTCTTTTCTAGCAGAAGAAGAGACAAATTCAGAAATGGGGAGAGTTTGATTTGATTTCAAATTGACTGGGAAAATTGACATGCAAGTGACCATTTAAAATAACAATGTTTGCCAAAATGTACAGTTTATGTTCATACAAACCTGCACAGACTATCTTGTTCAAACCAGAAATTTTCTCAAGTTAACACAATAAAGACACCGAGGTTTTATTTTTGTGCTTCCTATGTTTTAATTTACTTAACTCTTCATCATAAAGTCAGCCAAGGAGACAAAGAAGTGTTCCTATACAGGCAAAAATGAGTAATGTATCCACTGGTAAACCCTGGAACCACAAAATCATGGAATGATTCAGGCTTGAAGGGACCTCATCATTGTGCCCAACTTTCTGCTCAGAGAGTTCAAGAAAGAGGTTCCTGAATCAGCACTATTAGTGTTAGTAAATTATAACCTGTTAGGTCTCACTGTTGCTTTAGTGTTGATATTAAGTACTAAATTATTTTAATAGTTTAATGACTACAGAGAATGAAGCAGAGAACAAGGAACTTTCAGAAATGACAAAAAAAAATTGAGAAAAATCTTCAAGGAGCAAAGAGCAGAAAGAGTCCTAAATTCTTACCTTGCTGAGCTCAATATATTTCTTTGATTCACCACTTGCACAGGATACTGATGTTTTTTTACTTAGCAAAGCTGCTTTACACCCTTTAATTTTAAGGGAATGATATGGAGGAACAAGTGATCCAGTTTGTGTCAGCTTGGACTGGAACAATTGATTGATGACTACATTTTCACTGGCTAGAGAAAAAAGAAAAAATTAATGCATGAAGATAAAATACAAGTTTGAAATTATATATACATTGTATTTGGAATTAAAAAGACATACAGTAGGAGATAGAGTTAAATAAGTAAACTTAAGTGGACAAACCAATAAACTATTATGTTAGTTATCAAACGGCATTCAATATCTAAGGATAGTAACACTATTTTAAAACATTCAGTTGCTGTGCTGAACAAAACAGGACAAAAAACAAAACCTTTCAGGCTGTGACCTATCTAAACTTAATTGTGACAAACTTAAAATTAAACTAAACTTAAATGTGATAATCACCTCTGAATTTTGTTCCATTACAGACTCCCAATTTATCCATCTATTAAAGCAATGAGAGAGGCATTCTGCACATTTACCTAACATATAGTATTTTGACATGATCAAGACTCTTGACAGAAATAAATTATAAACAGTCACTGCACCAAAGGAAAAGAATGATATAAAACACAAAATAGGTAGGGATATATATATATATATATATATATATATATATATATAAAAGGCAAGGTGAAGGACAGAACTGTAGCAAGCTGGGTTCACATTTCTATTCATCTATTCATCTACAGACATTTACAGAAAAGGAAATGCCATACATAAGTTTGATGCAGTGGTGATAAATAGTACAAAAAAATGTGAATAAAACAAAGAAAAAGCCAGAAAAGTGAATGGGATAAGCATCATAAATAATGTCATTAAGTTTAGCATAGCAGGTAGAAATCCTCAGTTTGCTCTTTATTAGCTGTCTAAAGGTATTTTACTAGATGCTTAAATGCAATAGATTTTTTCCCTTTTTCTGTGGAGATTCCTATTCATTACTTAACAGGAATAATAAAATTATGAGGAAGACAGTAAAGCAGATACTTGAAACAATTTTAGCACAATCAGCAGACATAGTAAACCTCCATGTTTTTAAAATATGGATAAACACAGTAGAGAAGCATTAGGAAAGGCATTAAAATTCTGTCCTTCAAATTGAAACAGATAAGCCTATGTCAATAGCCTCTCCTGATTTATTTGTTGGACAGGTATGTTCCACATTCTTACACATATATGCAAATTGCTTTAATGTTGTTAGCATATTTAAAAGTTTTGATTAAGGAAAGTGAATTAAATGAAAATCAAAGGAAGCGTGCACTTAAGGCATACATCTACATAACTTATGAAACTGACCGTGAAGGAAATGTGTCACTGACAATCAAGAGGTTTTAAGACTAAGTCACTTAAAAAAGAAGGAGCGTAGCTCTTAAATGACTTACATGCTTGTAAATATTCTTCCTTCAGAATGTTTCCATTAATTATAATTGTTATTATTATGACTTCTTAATTATATATACACCGACTTTCAGCATATCAGCATTTCAGCATATTTATATCCGATCTAATCCTCCATTCTTCCCTTTTAACAGTAGCAATGTAAATGGAGACTATGTGAGAGAATGGAAGAATGCTCTCTCATGTAGAACATACTGGAAGTTGCCATACCTTCTTATACTCTTTGGCAGATTATCATGTAAATTCCAAGTAGTGAGAACTGGAATGTCTCTAAAACTATAATCAATAGGATTATATTCAAGATCAATTCTTCCTTTTCTTTCTTCGTCCTTAATGTACACTGTTTGCTTTCAAAATGCATCAACTATTTTACTAGGGAGTTTAGCTAATTTTACAGTAAAATTGCTAAAAAACCCAATACATTTTAACAGTGGGGCTGATCTGGAAGACAAATATTATGTCCAAAAGACCTCTTTTTCTATGGAAAGAAATATAAGTATATAATATATTAAGTGAAAGACTGCAGTGGTTGAAGAAAAAACAAATAACATCTCAGGACAAACTGACATTTCCCTGAGGAAAATGTTTTGTTTTTCTTCACAGAAAGAGTAAATGATAGAGGTCTTTAATACCTAATTATGAATCATTAATTCATAAACTGAGTTACATTATTATTAGGCATAATTATACAATATGCACATGGAAAGGTATTTAATTTTGTATTTCAATGAACATCTGTATCTATTCACTAAAAAACACAAGAATGCACACAACTTCCTGCTTTTAGAAAGGTACTCAAGCAGTGAAGTGCATCCCACTGCAGACTATGATTTTGGGAACCTTATTTCCTTTCCCTATTTTCTGGAGTTTATTTTTATCTTAATTCATAGTCAATGATTTCTTTAAGTCATACTCATCTCACTATACCTTCTAGTTCTTTACATCACATCACATGATGAAGATGCTTTATGTGAATGAATTCTAAAAGCTTTATAAGATAGAGCAAATTTCAAACAATGCTTACATACAAAAGATGGTGACTTCTTTTTTTTTTTTTTTTTTCCTGGAAATAAAATATATATAAATTTATCTTAAAAATAAAACGAAAATTAAATTCAAGCCATAATATCTTGATCTCTAACAACAACAGCAACCACCAAACCATTTACTTACTTTTCATTACAAATATGAGATTTTGTGAAAGGGAATCTTTATTTTTTTCTATTGCACCAGCAATTTCGTAAGTAACCTATAATAAAATATTGTGACATCATTAGTAATGACGAATGCATCTTTTAGAAATCTTACAGCAGTAGAAATTAAACTGTGTTTTTTTCCACTCAACAGTCAAAGGCTGTCACCAGATAGTGTTTTTTGTTCCTTTCTTAGTGCCAACAATACTAACCGGAAGAACTGGTTGTTGAACTTTGTGTGTCTTTGTAAGTATACAGAAATTTAATCAGACTGATTCTAAAACATTTTCACAATGCAAGACTTCGAATCAAAAGTGTAGTGTAGAACAGAAGGCAGTGACCTAAACACCACTTTCCCTGTAGGATAAGCAAGTCGCTCCCAGATCACAGATCTCCTTGTCAACAGGAGACTGTTCACACTGACAATAACAAAACACTCATGGAGCAATCTGCGTCCCAGATCACACTCAAGAAAAGTTCCAGCCAGTCATATATCCTTTGGAAGCAAGTTCAGTCTATAGGTTATGTACAAATCCATTGATCTTTCTAACAATTGCACATAAGGATTTTGCATCACCTTAATTGCCTGATGTCATAATTTCAAGAACAGACAGTTGGATTGTCACTCCATCTGTCATCTGACTGCAGATAAACTCTAACACATGTGGTGGGCACTCTGAGAAGTGAGAAAAATGCAAGGTTCTAGCCAGAGTTCCTGAGGGTATATCCAAAATGAAGAAATATGACCAAGTGACTGTTTTAACACTGAGCCCATCCCCAGGAGATGCTGTATAGAAAAGCAGCACTAAGACCCAAAAGCAGTCAATGAGCTGAGTTCTTTTTTTTTTACTTTTTATGGGGATGGAAGACAAACAACTAGTTAATTTACAGGCTTTACATATAAACAGCTTTGTTTTGCATGGTAGTAGAACCCAAAGGGAATTTTTAAGTTAAAAAGAAAGAAAATTATAGATTGTAGTACCTCCAGGATCAGGCAGATGCTTAATGGGAACTTCTTAGAATACAGTTTGTTATTTACCTTGGGACCATGTTTCTATCTAAAGCCTTTTAAAAATTTTTTATTGGATCTATATCCTAAGCCCCTTAGACATTTGGGGAAATTTTATCCTTCTATATTTAATAAAGCTGTAAATATATAATTAAGATTAGAAATACTAAACAGTGCATTAATTTTGTTTTCCATTCGGTCATTTGACAATTATGTAATGCTATTTTACTCATGAAAGAGATTATATGACTTGGATGTGTATAATCTGTTACAGTTAGTAATTGTCAAATGATGTAATTAGTATGGCATCTGACATAGAAAAGGTATAACAATAGAATTATGTTCTTTTACATGACAGATCCAATGTTATATAATTTTCTAATTGCATCTCCTAAGAACATACAACATAGTTAGCAAACTATTAGAATAATTTAAGTATACTATTAAATGCTTTTAATGTACATAAAGTAAATGTTCTACCATACTGGTCCATAAAAGATAATTAACAGAACTTATTCGACAAATCCATAATGCCAGATCCTAATTTAGTGTCTTAGGCTTTGACTAAATTAGGAGAGTTAGAACTGGTGGGAAGAATAGGTAAGTATAGCAGTGGGAGATACTATATTATGATTAAGTGCCTAGACTGAAACGGAGAAGTTTCAGTACTGGTGCTGGTATAATACATCACCAACTTCTAGAACTATATTCATAAGACATCTCTCATATCATATAAAATACATAAATGTTAGCAGGATTCCCTTTTATGAAGAAATTGCTAACTCTCTAACAGTTTTTCCAAAGACTTGGTAAATTAATTCACTGCCTAAAGACATGAAAACTGACTCAATGAAATGGCACTCTAGGGTTCCATATTCATTGCCAGTCTCACAAAAGAGAAAAAGAAAGAAGTCCTCTTCTAGCTGCCAATTTTGTTAATTTAATCCTGACCTCATCAGAGATGCCAACCTACATAACACTTTGCCTAAAGCACAAATATTTCCCTTAGTTTTCTTCCACTGGGTTTCTAAAGTAAACCTGGCCAAAACTCTGCACTGATTGGCACTCATGCACAGTGGATAGTTATTCTGAGGAGACAAAAAACAAACAAATATTATATGATTCAGACAGGAAATGTGCACTCGCTTAGATCATGGTTCCAGTAGTATAAAACATACTCCTTATTCTCACTTCTATTTATTGCAGCTATTTGCTCTATCTCGCTTTACATAATGAACTCTAGGGTAGACAGTATGTAAACCTATGTGTCTGTTTTAACCAAAGGAAATAAGGTCTTTAGATATACGTATACTAGTTAGAAGTATTTTTACTAGAAAAGAAAATAGTGTGGAGTTCCACACTGCCTTTTATATCATTAAAAGAGATTAAAACAAGAAAGGGATTGGATTTGCTTTCCTTCTTGATTTAAGTTCAGAAAGGAAAAGAGCTTAACCTAAGCACAGGGTAGTGGGGCAGACCAAATGTTCATCTAGTCCCGGACATTTAGGGAAAATATTGAAGAACACTACTCTGAGTCCCCGTGGATCCCATCTCAGCTTCCAGGGCTCTGCCCATAAGGGAGTTCTTGACCTGCAGGCCATATCTCATCTTTGTGTTTAATATCTCTTGATTGATGTTTCCTTCTCTAGTCTCCGTTTCTAGAACTCGTTAACATTTTCAGCATCTATAACCCTCTGTGGCAAGGAGTTTTATTAGTAACTAGCTATGTGAAAAAATACTTACTTGTTTTGAAGCTGTTTTCTGGTCATTTAAGTTGGTATAGCTGGTTTTAATATCATGAGAACTAACAAATAAGAGGTTAAAAAACAACACCAAAAAAACAGGAGGCTCACACACAAAATGTGCACAGAACTAACTTTGGGAACTGCATGTTCCTCTTATCTTCTTACAGACTCTTGTCTTTTTGATACATTAATTATCCTCATGCCGCCCTATTGTACATCTCTTCTGAAGTATCCCCCCTCATAACATCTGACTTTGATAAGGGACTTATATCTAAGTTCATTGGATTTCCCAATATACTTTATCAACAGGGCCACATTTACACATAATTTTCATCAATTCCTTCAAAACCTCTTTTTTTTAAATAGTTTTCATATCTTGTGATAGGCCAAAAGCACTCAAGGTTAATGGCAGATCCAGCAGGAACCCTAAAACAAGCTAGGAAAATACCACCTGGAATGTTAAGGTTGCTTTGGCTGCATTCACAATTAAAAGGGAAAATTTTACTATTTTAATAACAAAATGTAACTCAGAAACTCACAGTTTTGCATGTGTTGTTAAATTTAGTTAATAAGAAAATCAGCAGTTCATATAATTAAATGAGAAATTTTTGAGAACATGTCCAAGGACAATTTCAGTGCACAGAGGGTCACTTGTAGTTGTTAATTTTCTGCCAGTATTTAAAAGTGAGTGATATCTTTTAAATGATTGAATGTCCAGGTTTTTTTAGGATCACTGGGCTTATTATCCTCCCAAAACAAGTCTTGTTAAGCAATGAGTGAAATAAGTCATTTTATACAGGCTGGAAAGTCTTATTCTAACACTGTGATAGAAATAGTAGTATATTGAAACCAGCAGAAACAAAATAGGATAGTGGAGGGAAGTGTTCTATTATATTCTCCTGTAAGTGAAAGTGTGAAATCAAGTCTACTTAAAGAAAGAAAAAGGGAGAGAGAAAGGGAGAAAAAGCACAACTATCTTGTCTGTGTGAAAAGGAATCTTTGTCAAGTAACCTTTGTAGGCTTTGGTATAGCTTAGACTAGACTGATTTGATTGTTATGTCTGGGGATTCAGCCTGGGGAAAAATAGAGAAAATGAAAGCATCCTTATTGATTAATCCATCTCCTTTTGTCTTTTGATTTAGAGGTTCAGTTTCAGAGTCTGCCTCGGATATATAAGGCATTTCAGAGAAGACTGCCTCGGTGAAGGTGAGCTGACAGCTGAGAGGTATTTTTGAAATGCACATAGCTGAGAAATGGAACAGACATTGATCTGCACTTAAAGGACATTATGCACACTGGTTTATAGAGCAAAGAAGTTGGTCTTTTGATCTGATCAGTTTATTACAGTACTGTAAGTCAAAACCAGCAAGACAAACAGTGACAAGGGGCTGATCTGATTTGTAAATTCAAGTATAAATTTAAACTGCAAAAAGCTTAAATTATGATATATTATTCAGACTACATGATGAATGGGCAAATAGCTCATTATCTCAAACATGGTATGTCAAATACTGCTATCAGGTAAAGCTGTGTCTCTTGGCATTGTGCTAAGACAGTATAGTTCTGATTTACTTATGCTAATTATTCCATAAAATTAGAAAAAAACCAACTTTGAGTCCTCGAAAAAGTTTGTTGATGGAATGTTACTCTTCAAAAATCACAACTATCATTAAGGCTGACAGTCCAGAGATATAATTCATGTGAAGCCCTTTGTTATATGAGAGCCCACAGTTTAATTTTTAATATTAATAAAAGCATCTAGAAATTCAGTATTACACATTCTTAGTATAGCTTCAGCCAATGGTCAGATGCATCGATCAACTGCACCCACAGAATGCTTCATTTCCTCAAGGCAAGCCTGCAGCATGCAACATGGAATTGGCGTGCCCCTCCTCTCATGGTGCTGCCAGGCAGAGTCTCTGTGAGAAGCAGCTGAGAATACCCACATTCATGTTACGCATCAGAAACAAAGCAATGCCCCAGATGAGCAGAATTTTTCCAGAAGAGAGCAGACTGCCAGTGTTTAGGGAAATGTGTTGACCTTCAGATAAAGCCTTCCATTGGTGTTTTTTTTTTAGCCATACAAAACCTAAATCATTCTTCTCTACCTTCTGTCTGAACAGAACAGATAAGCTTTTTGTCTTATAGCACTCAGATACCAAGACATTATATAGCTCTTAGAAGAGACTCATAATGTGTCAAGGCATTACAGGATTCTGTTCAGATGTAAAATTAAAACTGGGAGATAAAAGTAAAATAGTTGATATGATCAAGTACTAATGTTCACAGTGGCCTTTGCTGAGCATATGTTCATACAGTTAACAAGTGTATCATATTGCTCATGCAGAAAAAGACAGATTCAGCGTTGTGTAGGCATAATAGTAAAATTCAAGAGAAATGAATAAAAAATTGTTTTCTTTCTTCAACAGGATCATTCTGTCACATTTGTCTAATAAGGTATTCTCTCTCATGTTTCACTGAAAAATCTCACCCTGGTGTTGATTTCTTCTATGTGCAGAAGCTTACTTGTGTATACTGTTTTTCTCTTTTATTCCACTTTCTTAATTCCAAAATCGTAAAGAAAGGAAGAAAAAAATCAAATGTCTCTCAGAATGTTATCATACATATAAATTCTCTTAAAGCATTCTTTTTGCCAGAAATTCAAGATTCCAAATTGTTTAGGACATGTTCCCTTACACATTACTCTGAGTCTTTTCTTCCCATATGCCTTCCTAGGCTCACTTTGACCTCAAGTTTTCTTTTTTCCTTCTGATCTGTTTTCTCTTTTCTCTCAGTACTGCCTTTTCTGGAATGGTCTACAGTTAGTTAGGATTGGAACAACAATATGTGTTGTTCTAGGAAAAGCTACTGAGCCTAAAACATAAGGGAATGGGCAACACCTGGCAATGCATGACTACAATCAATCAGAAAGACTTGATATTAGAAGAAAAGACTTCTTTTCTTTTTTCTATGACTATCCTGACACAAAAAGTTAAGGTATGAACATGTTAGAGGTCTTTAAAACTGCATGGACACATCTGTAGCAGCTGTAATTCTCTCATAATACAAAGCTAGAGATACCAGTTTTGTTCACAAAAGGTTGTCTGTCCTTCTCAACTAAATATGTAGAAGAGGTCTTTTCAGTGAGGCAGTATTTTTAATAGCTGCATTTTCCAGTATAACTGCACTTGCTAAAATAGGTACTGTAAGTGTCTGAGTAAAGACAGGAACCCAGTTCTTTCTGGACTTCGAGTTACATACATAAACTCCTGATGAAAAGGTGCCCAAACTACAAGGGTCTATATGAGACTCGTATCAGGGCCAACATAGAATATTAGTGCTTTTTTTTTTTTTTTCTCTAGATGACTTGGAGTCGCAGCTGTTTCACATTGGCTATGAACTACATTGCAGTTAACACTTTTGTTACATAGAGAAATCAGGTTGTCTGCCTTCACACTCTGTTTAGCACAGAGCCTGTATTCAGTGGGACTTCCTCCATGAACACCAGCCTAGACACATCACCCGAATATAAATGATTAAAGCCTAGAAGTGAAAAATTTCATGTTCAATTACCTGTCACATTTTACTAGTAATTCTTTTTTACCCTCTGGGTCTAATGCATCTTTCAGTTCTACTCATGTAAATAATGAGAAGCTTTACCAAGTTAAGGGAGTTACAATCAGCAAAAAAAATGTGGTGAGAATAAAATCAAGCCCCCCTGTTTTAAATTTGGGGATCTCTGAAGGTAATGCTTTATACTTCACTTATTTTAGACTTATTTAATTGATATTAGACTGTAAAATGGCTCTCAAAACCTGCCAAACTATACTTTTACTTTAGATATGAAATTCTTAGTTTTGAGTGCAAATAAAACCTGATATATGTAAAAGCCTGATCCTTTAACGATTTTCATAAAGCATAAATCACAAATTACCTCTATAATAAGCTACTAAATATGGTATTAGCACAAAGAACAGCATCAGCAGTTTCAAAATCTTAGTTTTTCATACTCAACTTATCAACGTATGAAGACATACTAGTCTCAGAATAAACTCAGTTTGTGTCATTATTTAGTACGGTAATACTATAATCAGATTTTATGTAAATACCTATCACAAATCACTGGAAATTTTGATCTATGATAGCTACATAACAGTTCCATGAGATAGCAAGTCTCTTTGAGGATTTTGCTCATCACTATTAAAGTCAGGCGAGTTTAGCACTTGCACGGGAGCTTTCCTGCTTTGGCAGGGCCAAGCATTTTACTGTCATAAGGATGAAAAGAACCTGACGGACAGGAATAGTTCCTTGGACAATGTAAATCAAAGGATCTCCACTGACTTAAAAAGAATGTGTGAATTTACATTACTTGGAGAGCTGTCTATTTGTTTTTACTTTTAGATTAAACGTCATTACTACTATTGCGAAAAGGTCAAACCAAGTGTCTATGTTAGAAAAAAAAAATCTAAACAACCATGCAAGACTAAAATGCACATTAATGAAAAGTGTACTCCTTACCACTCACAGTTTAGCTTTCAGAACTAGGCACCCAAAACTTTAATCTTAACAAATCTTCCTACTGAGTGCTTCTTCAGAGAATACGACAAACATTTTTTTCATTTTGAAGAAATGTGTCTATTGTTCTGTTTATGATTTTAATACAGCTGCCTTGCTGCTGCTTCCATGTCAGTTTTTTGGTGTGTGGAACCTCTTAGAGCTCTTGTAATAAATTTGTATAATCACAATAGAACTCCATAAAAAAATATTTACCTAACATGTATAGAACAGATTTATAAAGTAAATTAGACATCTGGAGTCCACAGTCAGTTCTTAACTCTATCACTTTAAATGCTAATAAGTTTCACAAAATCTTTGTTGTGCTGTTCTCTAACCACAGTGTGCCTGCATTCCTACTGAAAAGTTCCAATCGTGAAGGTATTCAAACCACTTTGGCAAATAATTTGAGTCTAAGTAGAAGGTCTTGTGATGAAAGAAGAGCCTCCAGGGAGTTATTCAGAGTATTTAGGTTAGGAATTTAAGCACTGTCGACATGGTCTTAATCCTTTCCATAATGAACACATTTCTATCATTGGGAAGAAACAAATTTGCCTGCATTGGAACACTACTCAACACTTCCATTGACTTCATATGCAACTAAAGAGACACAGTATAGACCCTTCCCCATTTATATTGCTGTAAAGGACCCTAATCTGCTTAAAGCCTGAGCGTGAACATTCCAACCTCTTATCTGTTCTGGAGAATTCAGGGCTTAGAATATTACCTTCAGATGTGACAGGGCCAGCAAGTCTTTTTTTTTGATGACTTGAAGGCAAGTCTTGAACAAAACTCACAAGAGTGGAAGTTTTGGAAAAGTAATAACTAAGAGCCCCCATTATACTGTGTCCATACAATCTACATTCATATTTCAAATACCATGCTTTGAACAGAGAGAAGTGGCAGCATGTCAGATTAATCACAGAGGGGCCAATCTGTCAGACTATATAAAAAAACCTGATTATCCCTTTAAATACACACGTAATTTGCTTGCTTTGGGCTGCAGGTGGTTGTGGAGACAACGTGAAAATGAGGTAGTATTAGAAAGAAAAGGATAAGATTATAATCTTACAATATTATAAGATTATTCTGCCTATTTAACATAATTGATTACATTTTTCCCATTAATATTGCAGGAGGGGAAATGCAAAACATTCATCCTGTTTTACAGCCATATTAGAGACACTTGGCATGTTCTGGGATTTTGAAGAAAAAAAGGAAAAACATATATTTTGATTATGATTACTAACAAAAAAAAAAAATTTTTACTGGATGCATGCTGGTATCACAGTACCTACATATATGGCACAGTACCTACAGGGAACCTATACCATTCTGGAACATCTGAAAGCAATGTGACAGCCAACTAAAATGGCATTAAACATTTATGCTGAGGTATCTGAATCACCCCCTTCTTTGTTAAGTACTTAGAGTGCAGATACAATTTAGAAGCCAGAATTAGGTAGCCCAAATCCTGCACAATATGATACAAACCATAGATTTTATACAGTAAATATTGCATTGAGATTCTAATTTGCCCTCTGAAAATTCATCACTAGAAAGTGATAGCCAGGAGTTGGAGAAGCCATGCAGAATTTTGTTGTTTGCTCTTTTTCATTTAAGTGTGTATAACCAAACATTCAAACATCTTACCCTCCCAGCATAATGCATAACAGTGAAGGTGGAGCCCTGATCCTTTGGGGCAAGGTTACCATTTCCATCTTTTGTGGAGGAATATACTGTATTTGTGTCTGATGCATCCAGATAAGACTGGATGCGTTTAGAAAAACTCTGTTCCACTGACCAAATAGATTGGCTTTCTTCATCCAGCATTGACAAAAAGCCTGATGGTTTCTGAAATGAAAAATAGATTTTTCTCATTTTATACAAGAGCAATGGAATTTCAGTTTTCCTTGCAGAGTAACATAGCTTGTAATTTAGTAAACAGAAGCATATATCACCTCAAAGAAAACAGTGGTTATAATATTCTGGTAAGTCTCCAAGGCTATGCATATCAGATAGTTCTGCAAGAAATATAGGGAATAATATTTCATTTCCCCAAAATGGTAACTATTGATAATCTTTCAGGAAACTGATTGGGCTACTTCCTTCTTAGAAGTTATATTCCAGAAACTAGCTCCAGGCACTAAAGAAACTGCTAGGCTTGCAACAGAGACTCCTCAGTCCTACACCTGCATTACGAACATGGCATGAAACACAGATGCTATACATGAATCAGTACAGGCAAGGAGTTTCTGTAACATCTTCAACCCTGGACTGCTACAAATCTCTGTTAGCCCTGGAGCTATGAGGGCAGTTATGACAGCTCGCTCTATGGTCTTTTTGGATCCATAACCCTCTCTACAGATTCATAAATCAGAAAATGCAGGCAAAAGTTTGTATTAGTCTAACATGCAGAGACCATACATAAATATACATGGTTTAAAACAGATCTGAAAACTACCTGAAAGAAAAAATCCAAGGCTGCAGTATGGTTACCAGGAGAATACACCGTTTCCATGGTAACTCCCTCTTGTACACATTCTGCTTGCTCTTGTAGGAAAAGCACTTCATTGATGTACTGGTGTATCTTCTCATTGGTCATGTTGACACACAGCTATTGTAAAATGAAGAAAAAATGAGTATTAGAAGTTTACTGGATAATTCATCGGTGTAGGTTTTATGCATGTCTAATATCGAACTTGGTGAAATGTCAGTCCACAATATGTTATCTCTCTGCAGACCATAGATTAGCAAAACCCTAGGGAAATTTACATTTTAACAGCTATTAGTATCAAACTGGGAATAAACAGTTTTCTGCCTGCAGAGTTCCTCGTGAATTCCACATAAGAATTATCAAATACCAGCATTATCAAATATAGTGCGAAGTTACACTAATTCTATTGACTGAAGTGCAGTGAGTCTATGTATAAATTGGTACACTTAATATTCTTCTGCCGTTTATATTCAGGAAGACTACACAGATGCAATGTGCTTTTAGAAAAAAATAGCTACATATTTGGTTAGGATCCTGACTCTGTAGTTAGTTCAGCATTAACAAAGACATTCAAACTCTGCTTCCACATATAATGTCACTGAAGTCTAAAGCAGTCTCTGAAGAATTCATTGTTTTGCTCAAGTATATGTTATAAACCACCTAGGGACTAGGTGGTTTATAAGATATTTTACTAGACGGTTTTCTCCATTTTAATGATATTCTAAGAGAAGGTTGGCAAGAAAAACAGTCTTCAATAGAAAAGTTCAAATTTTGGAGAGATAAATAATATAAAAGTCTCTCTTTTCTTTGGAAGCCTTTTAAGAGGTGTAATGACAAAACATGTAGTTTAATAGGAATCTGATTTTCAATTAAAAACAGGTAGGAGTTTTATCAGCTTATTTTTGGACCTTTCATATTTTATTCAAAGCTCACAATCTGCAAAAAAGTAAATATTTAATAACTTTGAGGAAAAAAAAAATGTTTTAGCTGTTTTATTTATATTAAAGAGGAAATTCTAGTGGAGAATTCTAAAATCTCTTCCAATGATATACTATCAGTAATAAATTAAGAAAACAAAAACTCCTTAAAAGGGTGGAAGAACCCTTTGTATGACGAATGATGCAAGAAATGCTTGCATGCAGTCTTTTTTCAGACTAAACTAGTCACATATTTGTTTTGGCCATAAACTATATCTTCCACGAATAAAATATGTAAAAGCAATTCCACCAGCAAGCCATATTAAAAAATATGAAATATTTAGCTCAGAACTACATGGCTTATCATCCAGATGAGAGAAAAGAACCCAACTCCCACTCATTTGTTAATAGTTGCCTGAATTTTCCATTAACATCTCATGCTAGCATTGTCAACTTGCACTTGCTATACAATGAAATAGACTAGTGTAAATAACAGTAAGAAGAAATAAAACAAAACCCCATTTTATAACCACGTGTCTGTTATTAGCTGCCTTTACCAAGGCATGAGAGTGCAGACAAAAGACAGCCTTGACTAAAACCATTATTTTTTTACAAGTGGTATTTCTAAAGATTCAGGTTGATATTTCAGTTTATTAACAATGAAAGTATAAAAGTGACTTGCATTCTCTACTTATTTTATGGTAAAAGACAGCTTTTTTATCTCTGGCAGGGAAAAGAAACTTTACTGATCACTTTTCAAATTATAATTCTAATTACAAAATCTTTTCAGAGGCTTCTTAACATTATTTTAAAAGGGAGACATAACATTACAAGCTTATACTTCACAGGATATGTAAAAAAATGATGTGTATTTCTTTATTTGGAAATGAGTTATTTGGAGAACCATGTAATTTAATTTTACACAGGTATACTTTACCATAAGAAAAGTTGACAAAATCAATATAAACTCAAACTTATTTTTTATCATGTGCCAATCTCCTAAAATATATCAAAACAATAAATGTAATCAAGGACCTGACTGCACAGCAAAATTATTAAACTACACAACTGGAGCCGAAGGGAAAGACTGTCTTAGTCATATCTTAAAAAGATCTTCTAAATAGCATTATTTTAACAGCCAAAAGTAGAAAGCATTTTATTTAGATAAAACATTCTTACATAACATGCTGGGCTGGTAAAGGAAAAAAAAAAAAAAAGGTTTAAATTCTACTGATCGGTTTATTATGGCATACACTGGTGTGCTTTTTAGTAATATAAGCAACACTGTCATTCAGATTGGCACATTTACCATAATGACAATAAGGTTCTGCAAACCAGACCAGAAAGTAAGCTCAAGCTTTTGCACAAACTGCAAGCTGCTTCTAAGCTGGTCTCTCTAGCAGTGGCTGTTGAGTAACAACTTTGCAGAATGAGAACCAGGAGACCAGCCAGGGACTGCTGAAAAGCAAGACATTCTGATCATCTTTCTCCATTTCAGAGTTTTATACGTAATAACGTAATAAAATTAATGTTTCAAATGAAAAAGCTTGACACAGGTTGACATAACAATTAAAACAGATGAAATATAGAAAGCAGATGAAAATTAACTAAGCTAGCTTTGCTAACCCAACTTCTTTTGTTCTGTGTCATAGGAAGCATTATATAAAACACTGACAATTTTCTGTCCAAGGATATGAAAAGTTCAGAAAACTAATTTTTAAAAATATATATTTAATTGCACCCATGAAAATTAGATGGAAATACAGTAGTAATAAAAGAAAAAACAATGACATTTTAACCTGAAACATATGTGGGAATACTTTTAAGCTGTGTATTTGCTTTATCTTGCAGCATTACTCAACATTACCTATGGTACTTTTTGTGATTAAACATTGTTAAACTGTTCTTTACATGCCTTTTATTTGCTTTGTTTTATGTCTCTTCTGTAAGAAAACCTTCTTTCTATCTTTCTTTCTAATCCTAACTCACTATCATGTCTCAGTGAAAACAAATACACCACCAATTTGTCCAAGTCTTCATTAAAAAGTCCTTCTAGAATATTATTAGGAAAAAAAAAAAAAAAGTATTTAAACAAGCCACTTGCAGTATCATCCAAATTGTAGAATTTGGGAAATAATATAGTGGCATTTGATAAAAGCAGAAAGTATTCATCACATTAGACAGTGTTAGCTTGATCTAGCTTCTTTTACTACATTTGACCAGTTAGTAATATTAAGTATAATCCAAACTCAAATTTAGGTAGAAGACCAAAATTGTGCTCTTCTCCAAAGACAGAAAAGCATCTATGAGTAATGAAATTTTCCTGCTCTTCACTTTATATAAATAACTATTTGAAAAGGCATAGCTAAAAAAAGGAAATTTGTGGAAAGAAAACTTGGTGACTGTCAATCAGTGAGGGAATGATAGATTTAAACACCCTTTGGAGAGCTCATTTACATCCTTTGGTCATGCAGAAGGATTAGACCTCTCAAGGGATGCATATTCAGAGCATGGAGTAAAGCTTACAGCTGTCGTACCAACACATCTATCAAGCTGTATGTTATGGGCCAAGATGACGAAGCTACAATATCAAGTTTAATTTGCAAGGATGTGCTCTAGCATTTCTCAAAAATGTAATTCTAAGATAGTGGAAGGCAGAATTCATCTATTTACTGAGGTTGGACTCAGAAAATATTTTTAAACCTAAGGTTGATAATCACTTATTTCTCAGGGTTATCTTGATCACGGTTTCCCCTTGTATCTGCTACCCAAACATTTCAAAATCCTTTTTCTTATGTAGATTACAATCAGAGTATCTTTAATGAATGTATAACAAGCCCCGAACCCATTACATCTCTTCCTTTACCATTTAGGGGCACAAGATATAACACAGAGTTCTTGTTTTTCATGTGGATCCAACACAAATTCAAACACAGTCCTTCTGCTTTTCTGTTAGAACTTTATTTTACTGGGAATTCATGTAATCTCTGGGGTCATTTGCCATTAGATGATCTGTGTTCCTCAAATAAACTAAAACAGAACCCAGCACTATATAAAATTTTTATTATGGGTAGCTGTCACCTGAAAAGCTTTCCACAAAGTAGGGTTTGAAAAGCCCCTCCAGAAGGGACACAATTTCAATAAAAAGTGGAATAGTCTCCCACTTGATTTTGTACATATAAAAGTATTAAACAAGAAAGCAAACAAACATGGTAACAACTGTCTTTCTTTGAAAGAATTTGGAATTCAAGATACTGAAATAGTTTCAAATTGTTTTTTCGCTCATACTGCTAGCCAGAGCTAAGTACTATAGGATAAAAAAGGGTGCTGCTGTAGAAAAGTAAGATATCAGTTAATAAAAGTCCTTGTGAAGCATTTCACCAATCGATCACAAACTGAATCTAGCTGGGAATCTCAATTTTAGATAAGTGATTTTATTTTTGGCCACAAAGTGTCTACTGTAAAAGAACAAAGAAAAAAAAAATAAACATTTTAATGTCAGGTACATGATAAACTAACTTAAAAACTGAGTAACACTGGTTTTCCAGTGGCTGACTAGGACTCTGGACAGTCAATAGTGTCCTGCACAAATGGAAAATAATGTGTTCAGACTGGATAAAAGACCAAAAAGACTGAGAGGGAACAGGGGTACACCATGACAAAAGCCATGCAGAGTGTAAGATCTACAGGAGGGTGGAGGAACAAATTAAAACACAGGATCGCCAGGCCCCTGAGGTCAGAAATAGGCTTTTCCAGCCCCCTTCAGCTTTCCCTGGGACCCCCCCCACAGCCTGCCCATGAGTCTGGTCCCAGGACACACCATGGCAGTGCCAGTTTCCAGCCCTGTCTCCAGCAGCTCCTGACAGGAACCCAGCCCTGGCTCACTGCGCGCCGTGTCAGGGCTGCCAGTGGGCACCAGTACTGGCCCTGGCTCTGTCCACTGTGCTCAGGCCCTGAGGGATGGTGCCCATCAGGGAGGGCATGGCCAGCCCTGCTAGCACCCAGCTCCCTCATGCTGAGGATCAGCTGCTTCTCACTGTTCCACAACAAGGATATTAAAACCTTGCTGTGCATGGAGGCTAGCCCTTGTTAAAGGCTGAACTAAGAGAGTAAAGCAATGTCCTGCGGGGAATAAGGAATGCCCCAGCACTGGGAACTGCAGGGGGAGGTTCTGCATTCAAGTCCCTTCACAGTATCAGAGTGCAGTATGCACCAGCAGCTGCCTATCCCCCAGGTCAGTATACAGGCAAGCAGGACCATCTTGTCTGTGCTCTGGATAGGCAAACCCTAAGAAGGATGATTTCTTCTGCATAAAATAAAATATTGGAATGCTCCTTCAGACTGTCTGAATCTCTTGTCTGCTAGCACTGAGACTACAATGACTGTGGAAAAGTCACGAAACTTTTATCTATTTGTATCCATCCACATACAAAATAGGCAACACGAGCTTACATTTGGGTAGCTACAAGTGGTCTAATGGCTGAGGCAATGCAATTTAATAAAAAATACTCTGTTATGGCTGTTTTGGCTAGAAAAAGGTCACATGACAAAAATAAATGAAGTCTCAGCACGGTTAACTAAAGAAATAACATGCCAAGAAAGTTAAAACCTACCACACCTAATTGTAAAAGTAGGTGAAAATTCCTGTGAACACACCTGGGTTGTATGAGCTCTTCTGCTTCACCATAGTGACTCTGAAGTGGAGCCCTGAGTGGGGCGGGCAATGCTCTGTGCTCTGGGAGCCAGCTGGCTCCTATCACGAGAGATATGGTGCATGGGGCTGCCATGGGAGCTGTGCCTCTCCCAGCGCTCTACTGCATCACACAGATAATGTGCACATACTTTAATGGGTATAGAGTTAAATGGAAGTCAAGACACACTTGACTGTTCCAATGACCTGCAGTCCTAATTCAGATAAATCACTTATAATTCCTATAAAAAGGATATATGCATGTTTTCTTCTGCAAAACTTAAGAGGTCTACAGAGGCAAAATACCATGCAAGATCTAAACATGTTATTTAGCAAGAGCCAAATATTTTTTTAAGTTTACCACTTGAATTAGACATCATAGAGAAAAGACTACTAGAGTCCATTTTATTTAACTGCAGTATTGCCCTTTCTGATGCTTTCACAACTACAGACCTCCATTTCTGTAGAAAGACCTGGCTTTCTGCAGGGAGAAGAAAAGTTACTCTTGCTACTCTAAGGTCTGTTTTTTCTGCTATAATACAGTGTTAGAAACAGGGGGAAATGGTACAGGCAACTTTATCAACCTTCCCTCCTGCTTATCGCTTGCTATGTTCATTGGCCACGAGTTCTTTCCATTTGTGTTGCATGCTCCTGTGGTCAAAGAATATACTAGCATAAAGGTATAATGAAAATAGCAGCATTCCTCGACTACACTATTTGAAGTTGTGCTGTAAAGGAATCATGAATCCTAGTTTTAAACTCTACCAGAAGAGAAGCAGACATTTTTTTACTTTTAAAGGAGTGCAGATTAAACTGTAAACAAATATAGTCCTTCTCAAACAAGGAAACTTAACATTGAAAACTACATTGAAAACTGCCATTGCCATTTTTGGTGGAGCACTCCTATCTCCTGAAATGATCACAAAAGGAAGGCCATTTCTGTACAGAACAGGACAGACAAATCTGTGCTCATTTCTGACCATGTTCCAGTGTGGCTGTATACAAAGCTGTTCTGGCACAGCAGGTATGCAGCTGCTCTAGGAAAATGCTGTTCCCAGTCTAATGATCACTGCTAGGAAGTGATTGTAAATTGTTATTGGGGTGAGCTAAAAGTGTACTGGTCACTTACTATAGCTCAACTGATGAGCAGTAACTCACTGTGTTCTGGTAATTCAGAAGCTGTCAGTCTTTATTGAGCAATGACTCCCTCAGACTGTGGCTTCAAAAACATTGTCCTCTCTCTTACAGCTTTTAAATTTCATACCAAAAATCACAACTCCACTCACTATCACTTATTCCATAAAATTACTGTTATTTTAGAATTACATGTCCTATTTCTGCTATTAGAAATTAAATGTATCACACATGTTCTATGAAATGAAGGCTTACCAAAGCTCACCAAGTACAAGGAAAACTGAATACTGTTTTTAACACTAATACTGTTTTTACACTAATACTGTCTTTAACTTCTAATGCCGCCTTCTTTGTAATTGTCTATAAAACTTTTCTCCTTGTCAGTCACATCATTTTGCCTGAAGAAGTTACCAGATTCTTGGTGTAGACATAATTAACCTTACTCTTCTAGTTCTTTGACATCTATTGTCTGCATTGTTCGTGAACCGTTCCTAGACCAATTCTTTGTTTACCTTTGACATTTCAATACTCTAATGCCTTGTTATTCCAACACATTCACTGGAGTGAACAAGTTATTCTACATACTTCATCCAGATCTCTCTTCCTGAACCACCTTCAAATATAGTCTATTAAAATGAATTGCTTACACTGACATGTGATTTAGGATCATATTGCTCTCTTAATTATGATATTAAACAGTCAATCAACTGACCTAATTTGAAGCACCAGAAAGATTGATGCAGCTGCTTGAAATGTCCCCAGATTTGGGCAGTTGGGAGGTTTTAATCTTTCTTGAAAACAGTTGTAATTTTTTTTATCCAAGAAAGCAGGCAAACATATCACAAAGAATGCCTTGCCTTACACTAATTTGAAACAAAAGGTTCATTTTCTCCAAATCATTTTTGTCCTATCATTTTAAAATATGTTAATCTAAATGTGATGAAAAGTTCATTTTTATGGCTCCTCCACTGTTTGGCTCTAACATACAATGTTAATGTTCTGCAATCAAAGGCCTTGAACACTGGGCATGTTTGCAGACATGATGCAATGTTTTGCATGAGGACCCTATCTGGCCTAACAGATCATCAGGGTTAATGAGCCCAGGCAGAATACTGAACTAGGCTGGACTGCTGGAGAGCTCGAGCTTTTGAGTGCAGGCTGTTTTGGGTATGTCTGCATAATTACATTGTGCCATGTGGAGGTACAAACTGCTTCTCTTCACTGATACTGCGACCTATCACTTCAGGAATCAGATGTGTTAATCATATTATAGAGTTCATATAAAAATGAACTCTGTAATTTCCTCACCTCTATTCTGTCTTTTCAGAAATGCAGTTCAGTAGTTTCTGAGGTAATGACTCAGAGTATTACTGAATATTACTCAACAAAATGCATTCAGTCCAGGTGGAGGGACAGTAAGTGCCTCTTGAAATATATTTATTTAGAAAAAAATAAAATAAAAATGGAAAGTTGACTTTGAAATTATCATGTTTGATATGCAGAAATCATAAAACAAATTACTTTCCCCTCATTTTTCTTTGTCTCCTATTTTCTCTTTAAGCATCCTCTGCAGTCACTAAGCAGAAAATGACTTATCCCAGAAACTGGAATTCATGTTATTTCATTATGTCAGCTGTAGAACTTATATGAGTTTCATGACAAAAAAACAGTGCAGAACAGAGTCAAAGGAAAATAACCAGTAATTCCCAAGATTCACCCCTCTTTTGAGATGCATTTAAAATGCATACAATACTTTATCCTTATTAATCAGTAGGATTTATGGAAAATTTTTTGCACATATTCAGTATAGTTTTTTATTTTTCACTTGATATTTTCCCCAAAGTAGATATTCACACTGAGGAAATGACTGAATATTGGCACACATCAATAGTCTGTAATCCAGCAAACATCCAAACAAGGTACAATTGTAACAGCAAAAAGAGTTTTGTGAGAGGGAACTGGAACATGTTTGATTTCATTCTCAAATGCTCTTTTGAAGGTAGAGGGAAGTTCACTCTGTTTGTGCTTTCAAACATTTGGAATTTGGGTAGTGATGTAAACATGCTACACAAACTGAACTAATGTGGCTCCGTGACTTCTATTTCACTAGAAAGTTGAGCCATAAAACAATGGATTGACTGGGATGAAAGGGCAAATTCTCATTTCAAACAATAACAGGTCCTTTGTTGCTGATGATGCCATCTCTATTCTTTTCTATGCTTTGATTTTCTATTCTATGCTTTGATTTTTTCTGCTACATTACAGAATGAATGAACAACTGAACAATAACTTAGACATCTCTTTCAGCATGTTGTGTAGAGTTGCTAATGCTTTTTGAAATACGTAATTCACAAGAACTCTGGTGTTCAGAGATGAATGTTGAAGGTGGTAAGCTGTTCCATAATTTTCAAAAAATATTTGATATTTAAATGGATTTTTAAGCATTCAGTGAGCTAAAGTTTAATTTATTTTCCATGGACGTAATTCAATTTTTTATAAAGACACATGTTATAAAGTCACACAGAGGTGAATCTGCCAGTAATGGCACTTAGCATAATGTAGCACTTTCATTCTATTTTTTTCTCTAAGGCATCTGAAGACCTTTTGATCTTTCATCAATGCAGTGTATTGTCCTCCTACTCACTGACCTAGTTGAAGTATCATTTCCACAAGCATGAAAACAGATGACACTAAATATTTTCCTCAGATTGTCTTTCAGTACTGATACTACCCCTCTTCCAAATCATTACAGTGGATGTTTACTAGATACTTTTAAAATAATGAATAAATGTATAAAGCCTATGTTTTAAATCACACCCATATAGGTGTCATGGGTAAAAAATATTTTAAGAGCAAATTTTCACCTCCATGTATGTTTATATTCTGATCAAAACACCCATTTTGGCTAACCAAAATCTTAATAGAAGAATTAACATTAACAGTTACAGTAAATTCAGTAAAACATAGCCACTTACCTGTTCGAAAGTATTCTTTTGAAATTCTTCAAATCCAAAAATATCTAGTACTCCAATTTCAAATACCTGGTCACTGGGTAAAAAAAGATATTACAGATAATAAGAATTCAAGCAAGTGAATAATATATGTGTTGTTTCTGACAAAAGTGTTTCTGTTCTAGGATAAAAGCAGGTTGTATTTCAAAAACACAGTGTGAAAGCAGACCATGTATACAACAAAATCAAAATTCTACACACCAACCTTTTATATCAAATAAAAATAAAAAGCAGGCTTCAAGATTGTTTTAGCAGCCACTTTAAAAACTAAATTTGTAAGAGAAGGAAAAAAATCTTAGTTTCTTTGAAGTTCAGTTTCTAAAGGTATAGGTATCTATTCACACAGATGAGGGATAGCCATTTAAAGGGAGCTTCAAAACTGCTTGGTTTCACTCAGTTACTCCTTCCAGTTTATATTTCTTTGACAGCCAGAACTGCTCCTACTAAATGTACTTCAATGGAAACCTGTTAAGCCAAAGTCCTCTCTGTGCCAGCATCAAGTAGAAGCTGCGAGCTCCGGCTGCCCAAGAGGTTACATCTCTTAGGGGAAAGAACAGTCAGGATTTGGGCATGAAGAAGACAGCTGTTTCTTCTTTGTATATATAAAAGAATACTTGTTGGCAGTGCATCTAATTTGTCATGTGCCACTGCCTACATTCAGGGAAGGGCTTTTATTTTGATTCAGTGGAAGGATTAAGGTAGGGCAGTCATTTGGACAGCAGAAATGGGAAAGGGACAGAGGTGTTATTATTCTGTGCTTACTTGGGACTACGTCATCATAAGCTTGATCTGTAGAAGAAACTAAGTTCACTATGGGGAGCAAAATTAATGTTTTGGGAATATCCTGTTGCCTGCTTTGGAAGGATTTGAGAACTCTATGAAAATCTGGGCTCACTGAGGTTGGGTTTTTCTGAAAAGAGGGGTGCAGTCAAAAATTTGTTACAGTTTGCCTATGTGAACACAGTGGGACTTTCTCCAGAGTGAAATGATGTGCCAGCAGGGTGAAAGACTTTGCACTACAGCCAATGGCTCTCTGGAGCAGGAAAAATCAGCAAAGGAAAAATCATTCAGCTTCCTGAGGAAAGAGATGTACACTTTCTAAAGCAGATGAGTTTTCCCTTCTCTTTGCCAAATGAATTTGTAAATGTATGGGTTTATATACATTATATAAATACATGATATAAATAATATCACAGCCTACTTTTTCTCAAATCTACTTTTCCTTCCACATTTCTCCTCCATGTTCCATGTTTCCTCTGTGTCTAAATCTACGTGTATATCAGGATATAGATGTAAAGGAGAAAAAGATGATCCACTGCTAAAGTGCTTCCGTATAGTTCTGTTACAGTCATTGTAAACACTACCATTTAATCAGATGAGGATTCAGCCCTGCAAGTAAATTCCCATATAACAAACAAAAAAAGTAAAATCATAGAAAAGTGAGTACTACAAAACAAGCTAGGAAAAACAATCCTCAGGAACTAGCAGAGCCTTATTCAGAAAACATACCTGAGAAGTTTGACTTAATTTCTAAAGCATACTAGTTTAATGTACTGCTGATCATCACAAAGCTGGTTTATCTGCGTAAATGTCAGACACAGAGTTGCATAATAAATCTAGTCTAGAATGATGTTGTTAGGCAGGAGAGGTTATTGTGAGGTCGATTAGCCTCCAAGAGAATTTCTAAAACAAGAAGCATAAAGATATATCACCACCCCCATCTCTAGCAATGAGTGCAATTTAAGTTGTGATTTAAAATGTAAACCTCATTCTCAAGTGTTCCTGATTAGAGATGAGTGTACATTCCTTGTCACAATGTATTTTCAACAAAACCAGTCCTTTTCTCTAAAGAAGAATTAGACATTTTAAAAACAAACTAGCTCAGACTAATATTGAAAAGCCAGAAGTATTATGTTATTTAAATTAGTTTGGGAAAAAAAGTAGTTTAGAATTTCAGAATACTTAATAAGTTTTCATTCTTATTTTAATTTTTTTTTTGTCATTTATCTATAGCCTTCCTTATAGGAAGGCAAAACATGAACAGCTTAATACTTCACAACAGTTGAAGTATCATATTATATTTCACAATTATTAAGAGATACTTAACATGGATGGAACAACATAGCCCTTCTAAGTCTGATTCAATGAACAGACTTGAGGCTGGACTGCTTAAATCCCAGTTGAGTGCCAGGACTATTATTTTGTCAAATTAGTCTCTCTTACTTTCTCTTGCAGAACAGATAAACATTTGCATAAGGAAAAGACCAATACAGACTGACTTAATTAATTACGAATTTGGGAAACCAGGAACCTCTCCCTAGTTTCTAAAACTCCAGGTAGAAGCCTTAGCAGCCAGCCTATTGCCTACCTCAAATAAAATTCTTTATCAAAACTGTGATATTAAAAAAAAAAATCTTGATTTGCTAGAGATGCATTTGTTATCAGGAAAATAGGTCATCCCAATTTTTTTGATGAACTCTACTTGATCATCTTGGTCTTGTATTATTGCAAGATGCACACATTACATGAAAAGAGCTGGAGGTTTTACATAATTAATATTTTGCCTACAGGGTAAGTATAACAGAACAAGATGCTGTATCCTCTACAATAGTGGCATTTTATTATTACATTGTGGCATTTATATATAAAATCTCACCAACCATGATAGTAATTTTCTGTGTTAGATTATTGCTCACATTTTGAAAATTAACTAGCAACAGACACCACAATATCAAAATTAAAAGTATTGTTTTATATGTGGCTACAAATGGCTTTGGTTTTTGTTTTTTTGTTTTTTTTTTTTTTCTTCTTGCCTTCCCTGTTTTATACCACTTTTCTTCTAGAAGGGAGGGTCCATATATGTTTTTCTTGGCTAGCTGTCAATCATATTAATTCCAGCAAAATTACTTTCCTTAAATTAATCATAGCAGAGATTCCCAAGGCAAAATAAAGCATGAATGATCCCATGTTTACAAATGAAAGGGCATGTCACCAGTGTCTAAAAGAACAAATATTAGAAAAGAGCACTTTTTGTTCTGAAAAATCCCCTTATTTTACTTTATTCTTTTATGGCTACTAAGCATCACTGACTCATTATGTTTCAAATGTTCAATATTTACTATGTATAAATAAAACAGCTATAGTTTTATTAGGGATTGAGACTTTGATTTCAAGTTTGACAATATTTCCTAGCATAGAAGTTAGAAACCCAGTAATTTTCCAATCTTTGAAGAACATTTTTATCTCTTATACCAATATATAGCTGTGAATAGTTAAAAACAGACATGGGTGTTAATCAGAACCCAATTGGGTTTTGTGATTTACAAAACAGCATTTCACAGAATCACACAGAATTATCTAGGTTGGAAAAGACCTTGAAGATCATCCCGTCCAACCATTAACCTAACACTGACAGTTCCCAACTACACCATATCCCTCAGCGCTATGTCGACCTGACTCTTAAACACCTCCAGGGATGGGAACACCACCACCTCCCTGGGTAGCCCATTCCAATGCCTAACAACCCGTTCTGTAAAGAAATACTTCCTAATATCTAGTCTAAACCTTCCCTGGCTCAACTTGAGGCCATTACCTCTTGTCTTATTGCTTGTTACTTGGTTAAAGAGACTCATCCCCAGATCTCTGCAACCTCCTTTCAGGGAGCTGTAGAGGGCGATGAGGTCTCCCCTCAGCCTCCTCTTCTCCAGACTAAACAACCCCAGTTCCCTCAGGCATTCCTTGTAAGACCTGTGTTCCAGGCCCTTCACCAGCTTTATTGCCCTGGTAATTCCAACTGGTAATATTTTACAATGTCTTCAGTTTTGCCTTTTTCCTCAGAATGACATATCTGTAAAGATGTCCTTATAGACTAGAAATACCTTTTGATCTTGTGCACTTAAGAACTGCATTATAAAAAAAGTACATAAAAAGTCTTGGCAACTCCTAAACACAATACACATACAGAAGAGATCCTGTCTGAAGATCTATTGTCTTGGCAGACATCTAGCCATTCATCAAGACATGCTCTTAGACTGTTTGCCATTCCTGGCAAGGTGAACACAATTCCCTTTACAATCCTGACTCATTACTTCAGAAAAACCTATAGGATGTTATTTGATCACTTTTTTCATCCCAGATGGTTTTCAGCTCCGAAATCCATAGGGTTCATTGCCATTGTAATTTTTTGTAATCTGCCTACATAAAGCAGTGAGGTAAATATGTTGAGGCAGGATGATCTAATGTTCCTTTTCATCTGCCCCAGATATGATATTTCTTGCTCTTTCTCCAACTTCTGCCAGTAACCAGGAAGAAAGACAGTAGGCTTATGTCTGATCTTGATAAACTAGAAGCGATACTGATTAATGAGGAAATATTTCTAGGATTAGATGAAGTATATAACCTAGCCTTCAAATGAGGACCCTCAGAATCCTAATTAAGACTCCCTCAGTTCTCCCAGGAGGACAGATTACACCCATTGTCATAAATACAGTTCTTGAGGGGAACAGGCTGAATACTCCCAGTTGGTTACGGTCTTCATCTCAAACAATTACTAAACCAATCTGGTTTCTGAGACTGTTGAAAGAGACTTTTTTAAGATTCTGATTTTTTTTTTTTTTTTTTTTTTTTTTTTTTTTTAATAGTACCTTACCCAAGTGTGAGAGGTACAGATAAAGGCAGCAGTTGCATACAGGCGAAAGAACTACTGGTTCTATATCTGACAAACATTTCTTTGAGTGACTTGACAGGTATGGCAGGAAGGGAGAAATATGTTTGCTAATAGACTCAAGATCTATAGCCCTTTCATCAGTAACACATACTCTTCCACAGCTCTTTAAAGCAAAATTTGTTCCATGTTTTAAAAAATGGCATTGTCTTGTCTAATGAAATACTAGAAATGATCCACACTGAAACAGATCTCAAAATATTATATTATGTACAATATTGTATTAGGTGCTCTGTGTTGTTTGTTTTAAAGTCTTCCCTACCTCCACATATAGTGACAATTCTCATTATGCTGTTCCGAACAGGAACTCTCTTTCTGTCCTTGCACTCCCAGCACTTCTCTACTGGGTTCAATAATAAATAAATGGTTTAGCTTATGCTCTGATTTTTTTTTCTTAAGCTGGAAAGATTTAGATCCCAGAATATCTCATTCTAAAAATCAGCTGATGTGTATAATAAAGTTTGTAAAGGAGCCTTCTGAGATCCCCCTTTTGCCCAAATAAGTGTTGCCACTGCTACTCTCTGGTAATACTTGAATTTTGCTGGGAATAGGATTACATGGTCAGAATACACAAGCTTTCAGAAAATACCTATTTAGAAATATTCCATATGCTCTATGTGAAACAGAAGTCTCCTATGGCTGACGTGGTGATACACTAGGTATGACTGAATGCTAGCTTGCTTTTCTTGTCTGTAATACAGCAGGCATATTGGCATTAGCCCCATCTTCAGGCCACATAAGAGAGAAACTCTTGCTGACTAGCTGATAAAACATCATGCCTTCTACCTACTAGCAGGCAGAAAAAAACAATATAAAGTTTTTCTCAAGCATATATACCTAATTAACTTTCTTTCCATTAGAAAAGAAAAACAATATTTCACAGGAGTTCACAGACATCCTTAAATCCCCATAAATGTAAAGTCTTCTTGTAGCATGAGTCAGGACTTATTAAAACATAATCTTAAAATATTTTATTACTAATGTTTGGATTACTAGATCCAACTTTGCCTAGGTGCAATCAAGTACCTTGAAATGCCACATTTAGGCAATTATGAATGCTCTAATCTCTTTTATCTATAAAACTGAAAATCAGCATACTTGTTTGAATGGAAGCAAAACAGCAGTAAACTTTGAAGAATTAAGAGTCTTGGGAAGAAGTTCACATAGACAATTTTAATAATAAAATCAGTAGAATAGGAAATCATTATATAAATGAGTGAATATAAATTTAATTTTTTTTTTTTAAATAATTAGAAACACCTGTGAGAAATTTTAATACTTTTCTTCTAGTCCCTTTCTAGAAGTCAATTACAGAAATAGTTTCTCCCCAGTGAATTTTTTTGAAACAATATCAAGATGAATAAGGGAATAAACCTCAAAGTACCTTGCAATCAGTCCAAACTAGCATCCACAGTTATAATTTAGTTCTAACCAGACAAAATAATAAGTAACTTTTTATGAAGGAGAACATTACTGAAGGTGCATTATCTCACTTAGAACTATCATTAAACTTCGTGCTTTATATTTATTAGCTAGTATCATAAAGTAATGAATTTGCTGGATTCTAGCAATACTTTTATCCTCTATACATATCTCTAGATCTTGGTCCTTGCAGCTTTTCATAAAATCATCTCCCCTTCCCTTAGATCTAATAACAATTACCACTTGTACTTTGCCTGAAACCAGTCACATGCTATTTCATGGTAAATATAAATCAGTATTAATGACCAAAATCAAGTAACTTCACCATAAAAGTTAAGCCCAGGTAACTAGTTTCCTCAAAAATGCCAAAATCGAGTGTTTGTCTTGGAATTACTAAGCCAATAAATCTAATTTTATTGCTTTATAAATTCTCACTGAAGTGGGATGGAAGTACAGTTAAGTTACCTCACAACAAGAGAGCTGAGTTAGAAACTTTATCCCAGGTTTCTGATGAAGGCTTCATCCCGTCAGAGAAGTAGGAACTGTGTAAGTTTCTGACAAGGGAATGAAGTGTGGCCTGAAACGTATCAGCCTTATTTAGCTGCATTAGTTAATGTCTTAGGTAGATCTTTAAGCAGAGGTTTATTAAAACTGCACCAAACTGGAGGTATAATGCTGCGAATCAATAGAATTGCTCAGATGTATATGAAGAAAATCTGAACCACAAAGCACAGATTCATGAAATGACTTACATTAATACAACTTGTATCTTGAACTGTGCTGTGCCTTGATTTACTACTGCAGGTTATACAGTATGATTAGGCTAGACCAAAAAAAAACTGGGGGTGGGGGAAGTATTTTCTTATCTTAAGCTGACTAACCCAGTTAAGGTTGAAATATCAATGAAGGACAGTCAACTTAATTTTCACTTAAAATAAGCTATTTATCTTCAAGTTTGGAAAAGGACCTGAAGATGAATTTGGCCTGCTAAAATTTAATATGAACTGTCATCACTGCCAATATATACTGAGTTGGTTAACTTCCTTTGCCAGCCTAAATGAAGAACTCCCCTTTTTCAAACTCAGGTGTAATATAAAACTATTGCAAATTCCTCATTCCTGACAATATCAAACAGCTGCCCCATGTTAGCTAGGACTTACAACATCACATGGTCCTCAAGTTACCATACAGATAGAAATCATTTCACTAAGAAGTATTTCCACAAGGTAGAAGTCACCTCAGACACATGTCAAAGGAGACTACAAGGTAAACAATATATAAACAGCTTTGACTTTCATCATTTGAAGAGCCTATGATACCTGAAAATTATAGGTTTACATTGCTGAATAACAGAGACACACAACACCCTATTCTGAAGGACTGTAAGATCAAAGTTCAAAGTTGCAAAATCAAATATTGAAAATTTATTTCAAATAATTTTAATAGATTTTTAATATACCGATTCTAGATTTCTTCCTCAACAACCACTACAAATGAGCTCCCTGTAATTAGGAATATCTGAGCTGGATTGTTGTCTGTCACAGACATGCACTGAGCTAAGCTCATGTTCTACAAGTCCTAGGAATGAATGGGGAAGAACTGAATGTGACCACATGCCACCGTCCTTCCTTGTTATAAACACAGTATTTCAAATTAGGACATGGATTGGAAAGTTGCTCTAGATTGGTTGACCAGGTGCCTGCAATTGTAAGGGGCTGAACAATCAGAAACAGAGAAGTAAAGCCATTCCCTGTTACTGATAAACCTTCCCTTTGCCTCCATCAGGAAGCTTGCCAATGTGGTATAATGATGGAAATCTTTTATATGAAGAAATCTCTGAGTTACTCAGGAATGGTAGCTTTTTCTGTTAGCTACATCTATAGAGGACAAATGTGATTTATTACTAATTGGTTTACAAATAGGTTAGGAATAAAAATAAGGTTGTGAAGTCTTCAAACTCTAAAAGAGGGTACCTGATAAACATTTGTCTTATGAAGCCAACACAGATATAATCCAAGGAAAAAATACTTATTCTTTTTTGGAAGTTCTACATCTGTTGCTTGTGAATTTCCATTTACCAATAATGCTAAGACATCTGTACTTAGTGTTCTCTAGAAAGCTCACCTGAGCATGTGAGATGTTGAACTTTGGTTGTCACATGTATATGATCATCTAATTAGGTCTGTTGTCTTAGTCTGCTACTGTGATTTTACTGAGAGTTCTTTTTTTATTGTTTTTTTCGTTGTTTCTTGACTGCACATTAATGAGCATTCATTTTTTTATGAAACCACACTGGGTAGTAACAACACTGAATTTAGCAGATGATAACCTAGAGACATCCAGAACATTCTTAGAACATTTAATTCAGTGAAGTTTAAACATTCATTTGAAGGCCTTTGAACAAAATTCTGTTTTTCATACCCTGTGCTAAGGTCATAGTTTAGAGGAGAAAGAACAAGTACATTCTGCACTAAAAGAACACCAAGCAGTTTTTCGCTTGTCCAAAGACTTAGCTCATTCTGTATTGTCAGCTCTTAAAAGGCTATGAAATCTAACCATCAATCTAGATTATTGTATAAAGTACCATGTCCCCCTACACAAACAACTAAATAAACAAATGTTACCAAGGAAATTATTTGAAGGAATGGCCAGTGATTAAAAACTCCAAGCACCACTGTCATGCTATCAGGAAATGCTTTAAATGATGGAATTATGTTTCTTTTATGCAACTGGATTTGAGTAGATAATGGCACACCTAATAGTTTGTAATGGCACTCCTACCTGCCAGTCTCATCTTGATTTTGAACGTAGCAGTTGATTGTGTTGATTAAAAAGCTAAATAAACGACCATATAGAGATTTTGCCAAGAGATCCCGGTAAAATTCTGCAATCTCTATAGTATGCCTCCGTACAATCATGTCCCCTATGAGAGAAAGCAAAAAATGGAGATGAAAGCATGTTGTAAAGCTTGCTTTAAGTAATTTTAGTTACAGTAAATTTAGTTACAGTTACTTCTCCTTTGCCAAAACTATACATGGTGTTAGTTTTTTTCTGAAGCCTCCAGTGAAAGATGAAAAGACTGTCAACACTTGCAAGATCTTCAGTTTGGAAACATGCACCTTTGTACTTTTTTCAATAGAAAAGGTTATGAGTACCACTCAGAACTAGCATGTTACTGAAAAGAACATTTTCAAATTTTCTTTTTTTTTTTTTTTTTTTTTT